ATAAATGTAATGTTATTATATATTACAAAGAGATGTATAATTAAAAAGGGACGAGACCGCCCTGATTGTAAAGCAAAACGTGATTGGCTATAGCGAGATCGTTCTACGATTGGTCAGCGAATGTGGCTGTTATCTGATTGGCTTGAGTAGACGGTGGGTGGAGTCCACGTATTTGTGGATTGTCAGCACGTCTTGACGGAAGAAATGTTTCACAATTCGCACATGCACAGGACGCGATTCACAAATGCGTGCGCTATCTATAAATGCACAGGACGCGATTTACAAATGCGTGCAGCTATCTACAAATGCACAGGACGCGATTCACAAATAAATGCCAGGCAAAGTTGTGGTTGTGACATAAATATATATTTGTGAATATGTTTTTTATTTGCAAATCTCATTTTATTTATTTGCGAATTTAATTCATGTTTGTGAAACTTTAAGATTTATTTGTGGATCTCATTCTATTTATTTGTGGATCATAATCTATTTATTTGGAATTAAGCAACAATTCTACCCTCATACTTTATTAACGCTACTTGTACCAGGATTGTGCAACAATTGAAAGGGCTCAAATTTGGCATTCAGAAGTTTGTGTTCACTTGTTTCCTAAACGCCTTCATTTGCAGTGGCTTGACCTTGGAGCTTTATTTGTTAATCCTATTTTTTTTTTCTTTTTAGATAAAAGTCTGTTATATTATTCCAACCTTAAGTATTTAAATGGAAAGTATAGGTTGCAGATAAGTGGAACACATTTTTTACGACTACTTTTTAATTTTAGGCCAATTTTATGTATTTTTTTTTTCTTTTTGAAAAGCATTCAAGTATTTTCCTAATGTTACTGAACACATGCCTTTACTGTCCGATACGTGATTGGAAAAAGTAGAAGAGTGAGCTCGGCCAAAGTAGGCTTCGAACTAGAGTCAAAATGCTTCAAGCTGTCTGAGATGCCGTTTTACGCTCGACGCCACAGGATCAGCGGTGTTAAATGGATCAGGTTTTTACACTTTCTCTATTCCAGATCTATTCGGATGCTGGTAGGCGGAGTTAATTATCCTGTCAACAAAGCGAACTATTTGCGCTCAATAGACTTAAGATTACAGCCTTGATAACAGTTTGGTTAAATTATCCCCATAACAAGTAAACAAACAAAGAGTCTTCTCTTTTCCTCAGTTGAATACATTTATTTACAGCTTAACGAGCTGTAGCCAAGATGAATTAAGTCTCTCACATGCTTAATATAAGTAATACAACATACAATATTAATAACATAAAATAAAGTATGGACAAGTCAGGTTACAATTAATTAATCACACCTAGCATGGAAAATAAACTGCTGTATAAAACTGCAGAACAACAATTTCTACCCAGAAAAACAATAGAAATACTGAGGGAAAAAATAATAAAACATAAATAAAACATGAAAGGGACAAGGACATGTCTTCAAAGACATTATGACAAATTTTGCCATACATGTATTATTGCCAGAACTCTTTGGAGTATGGGTATTCCCAGCAAACCTCTGTCCTCACCAAGAGGGTCACATTGTTCAACAAGTTGCAGCAAACGATTTTGCTCAAGTTCAAACAGTGTATCAGGAACATGCACTCTTTCCTGCCACCGGAACAGAGACTGTGCCTCTGAAGAAGCTCGAAATGACTGACCTGTGGCTGGGCCAGTACTTGAAGCCAAAGGCTCAGTTGGGGTTGCAAAAATATCTCGAATTGCAGTCAGTGATGAGTTCTGCAAACTCAGGCAGCCTCGAACAAAAATTTGACACAGTGTTTGGCGTCTCTCTGTTCTGAGTCCATGGTTGTTCCACTGTGCAGCAAACAGGTGAAGGTCTCTATTAATTCGGGGGATGTAGACGAAGTGTAAAGCCCAGAGGTGCATCTCATTATTTATGTCGATAATGTTCTCTTCCTCAAGAAATGAAAACAAGTCATAGTATGTGTTCGTAATCCCCTTCCAAAGATCCCCCCCAAAGTCTCTCTATTCGTTGGTTGTGTGTGCTTCTTCCCCTTATAGCACTGCCTCTTCTGAAACCTCTGTAGAGCTCCATAAATGCACAGATGAAGTTGTTTTCACCACCATGGTCACATCGGACATGAGAGGGAGCACCATACTTTTGAACAGCCTGCAAAAAGAGCTTCATAACTGTTATGCTGCGATTATTTGTCGATGCCTGGAGCATCACGATGAGTCGACTGAACCCGTCAATCCCCCCATGTATTACGATTCTCCACCTAAAACAAGTATTAATGCAGTTATACATCAGGCTTATATGTAATACCATATTTCAGTATGAAATTTAAGGAGCCCACTATACTGATTAACAATGTCACTTACAGATATGATTTTTTTTTACAAGCGTTAACCAAATGTGACCCTGATAAACCCAGCTAAAAGCATTATTTGGTGATTTACTGTTTTCTACATAAAATCATCCTACATAATGTAAACATTCTGACTAAGACCATGTCAAAGATTAAAATCATAGTGAAATTAATGATTGAAATAAAACTTTGATACTCATTATCTCACAAGTAGATTTTTAGACTAGCCTGGATTTCAAATGCAGGGTCACATATGATCTCATTGTCAAATGGCATGGGTTATCTTCTTTGGTTCAAACACTTTGTTTATGGTTACAAGATTCCACTTTAAGGGACCCAAATCAACAGAAGAACAAATTAAAAAGAACATAATGAGTATGTATAATTAACCAAAAGTTAGACCTGCACAGTATCTTATTTAGTGTTATTTAGTATATATTTTTTATACGTTTTAAAATACTACAAAACTTCTACTCTTTTAGAAGTAATAAAAATACTACAAACTCCTATTTGCACAGCTATATTACACATTAAAGGTAAAAGAAGAAATAGATTCCTTTTAAGACTTCAGCAAAACTAGTTTGCATACCTTATGAGTTTATGGTTTCCATCTACATGCCAAAGTGAGTTTGGACCTGCAACATGATAGGTCCGCCTGTACAGCCTTTGTGTCAGAGCTCTCTGAGCAGCAGCAGCAGGATCAGTGCGAAGAACACTTGCCCGTACTCTGTGTCTTTGCACTAAGACACCTTGACCAAATAAACGTGCTCTTACAGATTCTGGTCCAATCTGCCAATTACGTCCCACAATCTCCTTTACTAAGTCATCAAGTTCTGAGTCAGTTAGCTGTGTATATCGTTTTGAGTGATGTAAGTTGAATTTTCTACAAAAAAGAAATTTGATTGAAGCATTAACTGAACACAATAAAGTAGCACATGAAGAATGAAATTGATAAAAAAAGTTCTTGTGATTATGTTTTTAATTATGACATGCACTTGCCTTAAACGTCGTTTTACTGTTGACTCAGACACATGCAGAATGCTTGCCATCTCTGCAACAGTAAAATTGCAAGATACCAAAAACTGTAGTTGGTCTTGAGAAATCGAGTATGGTGAAGCACCATCTGCTCTTGGGGCTTGATTGATGCTTGACCCTAAAAAACACAATACAATATCTAGAAATATATACATTTCAGACTAATCAGAGATAATAGATTAAAATGTCATGTTCTCAATGTAGAGAAGTCACATACTGATGACAAGAGATATGTATAGACTGAATGCACTGTGTCCCTTTCAATAAAAATGTCTGCCAAATGTAAATGTTACAGTTTCATTACATAACATTATCACTAGGTTACCTTCCTGAACATCATTGGTCAAATTATGGACCTCTTGGGTAAGTTCTGCAAGCAGTTGTTGCAATGCATCTGTGTCGGCTGGACTTAACAGATGACCTTGGGCCCATGTCAGACTTCTTTTCAGGGCCTCAATTCCAAAGAAAACAATCAGAAATAGTAATTATAAACATAACACAAGCATGCACTTACACACACAAAAATGCACATAGCTGTAAACATAATGTGACAATGATGCAAAACACTGACACTTGAAATGGATTTGAAATAAAAAAAAACATTAACAAAGACTATTTGAGAATTAAAATTTTTACTTTTACAGCAGTGAGCCTTGCTCATTTATTTTGTAGCGGCATTAGCATTAAGTTTTCTTCTGAAACAATAATTGAGCATAATGGCACTGCTGTGTCGTTTATAGCATTGCAGCATCTACTGGCCACTGCTGTCATGATTTTCAACTATCAACGTAACAATAATAATAATAAAATGACATAAACTGTGTAATTTGCTTATACCAGTTCATAAAATTAACGCTGAAATGGACAAATATACACATTTAAATAGGCTATGTAGTCTTAAATTACATTTAAAAAGCATAAAATCACTAAATAAGTGGATCTTTAATTGCCAGGATATTGAAGATATTTCATTAAAAAATATTTTACAGTGGAACGTCATCGTTTTCACACATTTAAAAACACTCACCTGGATAATTGTACATCCTTATCGAAACTGCCAGATTGAATAATCTGTACACAGTCGTTGAACACATTCTTACAGCGCTGAAGAAAATTCCTACGTGCCATGTTACACTAAATGCCATAGACATCATATGTCTATCCTAAATGCTGCATAGAACAAATTTGTTGGAATTGTATAAAGGAATCTACCAACTAAACGTTTCCAAAATGACGTATGCAAATATGCGTACCGTCACATGCCTTACAATTTGTCCAATCACAAACGTGACGTAGAGAAAAAACCGCCACTTTCAAGGCTGTGTTGGCGCCCATAAGTGAAAGAATGTCTGACCGTCATATTCATTCCCGTTTATCAGATTTACGAGCAAGGTTTAACGATCAAGTGGACCGACTGATAAATGAGATGGAAGAGCCATCTGGAGAAAATCTCGTGGACCAGTTGAGTATTGGTTTTACTGTTATTATTACGGTATAAGATACTTGTTGAAATAGTACACTTTGAAAGGGGGGGGGGGTCATTTTATAATCAGGATCATCTTGTATTCGGGAAAATACTGTATATACTGTATATATAGTGATGGAAAATATATGCAAATTATATTATGAAGTTATTACACTATAATTATTTCACACCTATATATAAGCACAATATTGTTATTATATTATTGTAACATCTCTTATATTCTGTAGATTCCAAATGTTTAGAAGTAGCAGAAGTACTGCTGGGCCTACCTGCAGACGAAAGAGAAGACAAGTCACGCAAACACGCAATGTGACTTTCAGAATGATTCTGTTAAAAAAACATGTTGAGCGATATACATCACATACTGGTAAATACAGTTTACTATTTGTTAAATCACTTTTCCAGATGAGTAATGCATATTTTTAAATGAAAATGCATGTTTATGTATATTTTCCCAGATGGAAGTCCACAATGCAAAATCATCATCCCATTACACCTAAATGAAATTGAATTTAGGGAGGTGCTGAGAGAAAAATTCCCTGACCTCCCAGACAGATTTGAATTTTGCAAAGTAGCCGGAAACCGAAAGGTGATACCAATTCAGCTGTCAGTCTTGTGCCCAGCTGAAATTAAAGCAAGCAATGTGCTGGGGCGGTCAGCTCTATACATTAGACCACTGGTAGGCAACATTTTTACCCTTACTTTACAAACAAATTTGTACATTTTCCTGTTCATATTTCTGTAAGCGCTGAAAATATATGTTATAGTCATAAACCACCAGCTTGTGTGCAAACATGAAATAATGTTTGAAATAGTTGTTTTTTTTGTGGTTGTTAGGACATTCCAAGCCAAACCACTTCGGGTGCCCATAGTCATTCAAATCCGGAGGCAACTGAATCATCTCCATCTATTTCCCTAAACCCAGCTGCATCTCCAGAGCAAAACCATACATTTGTGTCAAGCCCCTCAACTTCCACAACAGTACATAACATGTCTTCACCCGCTCAAAGCCCCTCTGAAGTTGATGTTAGTGTAAAATATGAAATTATGATTTTATTTAATTATCTGTTAGATCAGAAATAACAACTATCTTTTGTTTTGCAGCATTATCAACGAAGACATGGCAGATTTTTTGAGGAATCAAGGTGGTTTAATTGCTTTAAAAATTATTAATTATCTTAGGCTGTAAGATAATTACATAATCAGTCTGCTTTTTTATTTTGGAAAAGAAAATCACCTGTATTGAATATACACTGTGGAATCCTGGTCCTGGAGGGCCACTGTCCTGCAAAGTTTAGCTCCAACCAGCTCCAACACACCTGCCTGGAAGTTTCTAGTAAACCTGTAGAGCCTGATTAGCTGTATCACATGTGTTTAATTAGAGTTGGAGCTAAACGAATTTAGCAGTACCAGGTACCAGGATCGCCCACCCATGATGTATTGTTTTTGTGCTTATTTTTTATGAAGTGTATAAACAGTTCACGAGCAGCAAGTGTTATCATTAATTGACAATTATCACTTGTAATGTAAATATAATTGTAATTTACTGGATGAACAATTCAACCTTTAATGATACAATGCATATATTTTAAACTGGTTTAGTGTTTTTAACACCTGTGGGTGAGACCCATTTATGCTCTAAGGGTGTTCATTTAACACCGATTTTGCTGTGAATGTATTACAGGGAGACTGACAGTAATTCTGAGGATTTAGAGATTGACATGCTGGCTTCACCTCCAAGACACTGCAGTCCTGATGTACGTGTAACTCATACCTTGAAGAATGTCTTAAATTGATGTAAAGCAACTCTCTTTTCTTATTTTATCTTTTCCATTTTTACAGTTGCACAAATACCTTGTGGATATTTTGGAGGAATTCAGGAGGGACAATTTAGACCTGACCACCCATGTCACTGTCGTGGCCCGCCGAAGAAGAGTATTACCTAGTGCGTGTGTTGCTCTTCATAAATCCTACTTTGAATGGCATAAAATACCAAACATTGAATTTGTTGGTGAGATGGCGGAAGATTATGGAGGACCACGTCGAGAGTTTTTCAGGTGATTACTGATTTTAAGTTTTTACACCCAAAAAAGTAATGATACTTTCAGTGTTTAGGGATGTATGTGTTTTTATGAAATGTGACATCTTGATCTTTTTTTTAAAGAATTCTCATGAGCGAAGTGCAGACATCCCTTGGTATTTTTGAGGGGAAACCTGGAAACCTACTCTTTGCGTATAATCAGGATGCACTGCTGCAGAACAAATACTACACTGCAGGCAAGCTGACTGCATGGTCCATTCTTCACAATGGACCTGGGATTAAATGCCTTAATCAGCAGCTTTACCAAATGATATGTGGTCAGACCATAGACCTAAGCAAGTTTGACCTAGAAACTTTCCATGACACAGATGTACAACATCGACTGGAAAAGGTATTCATAAATAATAGTAAAACACATGTAGTCTAATCGGATTTGTGTAAAACACATTCATATACACTGATTACATCATGAGTAGAATATTTTGTCATAATTATGCATTTGAACAATGTGTTTATCAATTTTAACAAAATTAGATTTTACAATGCAAGACCACAGCGGAATTGTTGGAAGTCAAAACAGAACTGGGCGACTGGATTGCTGAATGTGGGATCCCCAACATATATTCTGCATCACTTGCTGATTTTCCAGTTATTTACCAACAAGTAATCACCCACTACGTGTACCACAGGTTGGGCATTTGAATATAATGTCATGTGCATATTCATAGACTTATGAATTTTGATTATTTATACATGTAAATATAAGGTTGGCTATTATTTGTTAAATATTATTAACAAATAATATTTTGACAACTTCATGTCACTGGCAAAAGTTCATCAAATGTCATTGATAATGTTATTTTTGCCATAATACAATTTTATAAGCACATACATATTCTTGTATTATCACAAAAAGATGTTTGAAATGCAATTAAATACCATCACCTTAAAATATAATTGTTTTCATTTTAGGGTTGCCAGCATGATACAGCTATTCATTGCCGGAATGAATGCTTGTGGCCAGATGTGGCAAGTTGTCCAGAGAAACTGGGAAACCTTTGCACCACTATTCACACATACAACTAAAAAGCTGTCACGGAATGATATTCGAGGACTCTTCAACATTAAATGGAGTCCACAAGGCAGCAACAAAAGAGATCAGGAGGAGGACACCATCTTCCTTTGGGAGTGGTGGTTGATGTCAATTGAAAGTAAGTAGTCATTTGTGTAAAATACATTATGCAAATGTTGCAATATGGTGTTTAATCAAGATTGTAACATTTTTATTTTCCTGTTTATATAGATAACGAGCTAGATGTTACTTTGGAGGACATACTCATTTTTGTAACTGGAGCAGATTCTGTACCCCCACTGGGTTTTCCACACAACTGTGAAATTCAGTTTTATGACCAAGAACCTGAAAGCCAGCGAGTTCCATACTCTTCCACCTGTGCCCTCATTTTGTACCTGCCAAGAAGCATTACAGAAGAGGTGGTGTTTAAGGACTTCATGCAGATGGCCATTAAGGGTTCTGTGGGCTTCGGAAAGGTCTGATTGGCATGTCCTTGTCCCTTTCATGTTTTATTTATTTTTTATTATTTTTTCCCCCAGTATTTCTATTGTTTTTCTGGGTAGAAATTGTTGTTCTGCAGTTTTATACAGCAGTTTATTTTCCATGCTAGGTGTGATTAATTAATTGTAACCTGACTTGTCCATACTTTATTTTATGTTATTAATATTGTATGTTGTATTACTTATATTAAGCATGTGAGAGACTTAATTCATCTTGGCTACAGCTCGTTAAGCTGTAAATAAATGTATTCAACTGAGGAAAAGAGAAGACTCTTTGTTTGTTTACTTGTTATGGGGATAATTTAACCAAACTGTTATCAAGGCTGTAATCTTAAGTCTATTGAGCGCAAATAGTTCGCTTTGTTGACAGGATAATTAACTCCGCCTACCAGCATCCGAATAGATCTGGAATAGAGAAAGTGTAAAAACCTGATCCATTTAACACCGCTGATCCTGTGGCGTCGAGCGTAAAACGGCATCTCAGACAGCTTGAAGCATTTTGACTCTAGTTCGAAGCCTACTTTGGCCGAGCTCACTCTTCTACTTTTTCCAATCACGTATCGGACAGTAAAGGCATGTGTTCAGTAACATTAGGAAAATACTTGAATGCTTTTCAAAAAGAAAAAAAAAATACATAAAATTGGCCTAAAATTAAAAAGTAGTCGTAAAAAATGTGTTCCACTTATCTGCAACCTATACTTTCCATTTAAATACTTAAGGTTGGAATAATATAACAGACTTTTATCTAAAAAGAAAAAAAAAATAGGATTAACAAATAAAGCTCCAAGGTCAAGCCACTGCAAATGAAGGCGTTTAGGAAACAAGTGAACACAAACTTCTGAATGCCAAATTTGAGCCCTTTCAATTGTTGCACAATCCTGGTACAAGTAGCGTAAATAAAGTATGGGGGTAGAATTGTTGCTTAATTCCAAATAAATAGATTATGATCCACAAATAAATAGAATGAGATCCACAAATAAATCTTAAAGTTTCACAAACATGAATTAAATTCGCAAATAAATAAAATGAGATTTGCAAATAAAAAACATATTCACAAATATATATTTATGTCACAACCACAACTTTGCCTGGCATTTATTTGTGAATCGCGTCCTGTGCATTTGTAGATAGCTGCACGCATTTGTAAATCGCGTCCTGTGCATTTATAGATAGCGCACGCATTTGTGAATCGCGTCCTGTGCATGTGCGAATTGTGAAACATTTCTTCCGTCAAGACGTGCTGACAATCCACAAATACGTGGACTCCACCCACCGTCTACTCAAGCCAATCAGATAACAGCCACATTCGCTGACCAATCGTAGCACGATCTCGCTATAGCCAATCACGTTTTGCTTTACAATCAGGGCGATCTCGTCCTGAGATAACTTCATGCATCTGCATTGGCTCAAATAGGTCATATAAGGGCCATACAATGGGTACAGTAAAAGATGTTTAAAACTGGATTTTGTTAGACTGTGTATCATGCCAAGCCACAGTATTTTATGTTACGTGCCTTTGAAAATGCCAGAGAAACAGTGTGTGATGAAGTGTAGTAGGTTAGACTAGTGCGTGTGCGCATTTACAGTGCTTTCTTTCACTGTATGATTCAGTTTATTAAAATACATTTCGAATGATCACAAAATTCAAGATATGGGAGCAGAAAATATATAAATTTATATAACTTTATATAAATATAATTTATATATCATTGTCGTTTCTTTTCTCCAAAAATCAACATGATTTCAAATGTGATGTTAAAATTATGTGATATTAATATACAGTTCAATAAACAAAAACATGATGGTGTTTCGTTTCTGAATGAATCAACCTTTAAATGATTCGGTTCAATCGCAATGACTCTAACAGTGACTTGCTGCCATCTACTGGTGGTTTAAATTTCACAATTATATATTTTAAATAATTTCAAATGTCAGTATTCGACGTTTTTTGTTTACAATATCAAAACATTATCTATGCATTTGTAACTGCAGGTTAAAG